GTTATCGAAAGGTGAGAGGTTGTGGTAAAAGTTCGTTGTTCTCTTCTAGTTCCATGGTCGGAACTGCTCTAGTTAAATACAGCGAATACATCCTGTATTCACTTCCTTTTCCTATGTCATCCACTTCCAGTGACTTAACTGTTCCTTCACTCATCCGGTAAAGTGACATACGTCCAATGTCACAATAGTCACAACACTAGCAACTCTCTATTTTTCTCCTTCATTCTTCTTTATTCTTTCGTTCCACCCATCCTTCCATAGATAGTATAAGCTTATTTGTATCGATCAGATTCCTCAAGGCTTGATTTGGCGATGCTTTCGTCATTGCATCTGCCGGGTTATCGTTCCCATGAATCCATCGTACCTCGTTCGCTTCTCTTCGTTCGTATGATTGTCGTAGTGCCATAATATCAATCATCAATCGTTTTTCCTTTGTAGTTCCCAATTTCACAAGACATTCATAAAGTGAAAATGAGTCTGTGCAGAGAATCATTGGTATCTTTGGGATTCCAAGTTGTTTAGTGATTATCTCTAGTGTCGAATTCAGCGCATATCCGACATCAGCTCCCTGCACCATGCTGTATAGTTCGGATGCTAATGCGCTTCTTGTAACTCGTTTCGATTTCGTTGAGCTGTATGTGACAATATTGCCTGTAATCTCACATCGATTTTCGCTGGTTTGTTTCTCGGTGCCAATCATAACAACATATCCCAACTGGGAGCTCAAATCTTTGTTATTTGCGAAGGATCCATCAACAAAGACATATAGCTTAGCCTTTTCGAGTTCCAACGGGACAAATCGAAGTCCACGCTCCTTGTTTTCCATCTGCCATTTCAGACGAGATGCCAGTCGTCTAAAGTCATCCTTTCCAGGTTCTTTATGTTGAGCAGCAACTGACAGATCGAACGATGCTTCCGGCTGGCAAATACTTGCAAGATAAGCACCTCTTGCTCGTTGTTCAACATACCCTTGATTGTCAGATGGTATGCCAAGCTTCTGAGCTTGCCCCTTCTGGACCATTGTAATCACGCCGTCAACATCAACATGTAATCGGCATCCATTGAAGGTAAGTGGATTCTCAATACCCAAGATCTCCCTTGGTTTAGCAGCGAAGTTCGCTTTCTTCAACTCCTCATCCTCCAGATCATAGAATCCTCGATCACTAAGGCCCAAAGTGTCATCTGTCTGCATCCCAATTACTCCAAACTTGTCTGTATTTGAAATAAGTAGACACGGGTCAAATGTTGACATCACCATACCCAACTTGTCGAGGTGGTGCCGTGAGTATGTTGCCCACCAGTGTGTTCCAGCTTCTGGAATTCCATATAAAGGCTTAATTACCCTCATAATTGTTCCTGTCGGGTACTTGTCACGAATTTGATCGGGAAGCTTTGCCAGAATCGTTCGTTGAAGTGGTGTAGTTGACTGGGCATATGCTTGGGTAATATCTCGCAGCCATAGGAAAATCCCTCTCTTGGTCAACGATGGTGCAATAGCAACTAAAAGACGTTGACTTGCCCGTTGAATGGTCGGGGATTGTGTCAAAATCAATGCTTTTCCTTCATCGTTGTATCCGCGAATTACCAATCGTGATTTCTCATATGGTCGTGGCGTCCCTTTTCCTTTGATCTCTCGAACCATTCGAGATCCAAACACACGAATTCCGTCATGTTGTATTGGATCAAAGGGTCTAAACTCGAATACACCTCTTGCCAGTAGGTTATCAATTTCGGTTCGATCAGATACTTCGAAAGGTCGGCCGGGGGTTGTCACAATTCCTTTATCTCTCAAGTTAACTGCGAGAGTATAGTCGCTTTTCTCCTTCGCAGTCATAAACACCTCCATGTCTATACTCTGGATTAATTTACCAAGATCTCCAGTTTCGGTAGTAGTAGAGAATAACACTTCATCAAACAGTGGTCTTCGAGGCCTTCCACGCTTTCGTCTCGTTGGTTTCTGGCCCATCTCGTCGTCAACTTCATGCGTAACCTCTGGGGGATTTTTCTTCTGATGTAGAACAACAGCAATCTTAGCAGTTTTCCCATTGCCATTTTTATCTTCACAATCAAGAAGAGGCTGTATATGATTATCTCCAGAATCATCCTCATGGTAGTATGGTTTCACGACTGTCGATCGAAACTTTGTCGTACCATTTGGCATTTCCAGTGTACATGTCTCGCCGTCCATAGCAATCAGCTTATATGGCCCTTGCCATCCCCTTTTTTCACGCCACACGCGTACATCTGATTGAAGGGGTAGGCTGTGGATCATACCTGTATCTGGGCCATTTCTTGTTTTGACAGCTTCTCGAACTTGTCTCGCAGATATCAGCTTTCGGACTTCGTGGGTTGCCTTCCTGATTGCCTCTGCTCGTTGAACAACAGAGAAGTGTGGTGGCGAATCGTCTGTAAGTCGTGGATAAGACCCAAAGACCAGCAATGTCGGAACCAATCCATCAGGCCCTGCCGAGTCGTTGATTGCTTTGACAGCCATTTGCAACTTCTGATGCTTGGGAATTACATCACCTAGTTCACTGTCAATAATCATATACGCTCGTCGCAAAATACCATGATATCTTTCGACCTTTCCAATGCTGTTATGTGCTTCAACAGGCACCTCCTGTATTCCCACATGCATTCCCTTTGCATATTGCCTGAATTCAGCGGAAGCAAAGTTCCTGCCAGCATCATGGACAATCCATTCAGGGGGCCCAAGATAGGTATCAATCCAGCAACATCGGATTGCATCCCATACATCCTTTGCAGTCTGTTTCTGTGGCTCAAGAAAACAAGCAGCTTGGAAAGCGGTTGCGGAGTCAATGATGTGTAGCACAGGGAGACCGTCGAGATAGAATATATCGACAATAATCTCATGGTTGAACTCATGGTTATCCCTGACTGTAAATCGAAATCGTCCAGGTGCCTTTGCATTCATCTGGCACTGATGGCAAATCTTGTTCAACTGTTTAAGGGTTTTCTCGTCGAATTCTTCACCAATACGTTCCAAGATACGTGATAAACGTTCAACCGATGGGTGCCCAAATCGACGGTGTAATCGGCGAAGTTGTGTCTCTGTGAGGTGGAAAGCAATAGAATGTGCTGCTTCCAATAACCACCATGGATGACCCCATTTCCGGACAACAGGTATCTCAAGGTCGCCTTGAATAAGACAGTTCCGAATATTATCAAGTCGAACCTTCATTCGATCCATATCAGTAATGGAGAAGAGGAAAGGGGTAGTTGTTGGAAGTATCTGAAATGAGATAATTCCCAATACCGTAGGGATCTTCAAAATGCCAATTGATGTAGCGGAGCCTGCGCCGAAGTGTATTGTAGTTGATGGGGCGTCGTCAATTCTCAGCGATGGGATGAGTCTCATCAATGCCCTTGCTTGCGGTAAACCAGCGTTTGACATTCCCGATGCACCCGTATCTGGCATAATACCGCGAAAGACATTTTCAGAGTATCGTTCTTCAGATATATAAACCATACCTCCATTTGTCTTATCAGAACCCACAGTAACAACTGCGTGTTCAAATGAGCAGTCAGCAAGGCTCGCCAAGATCTCTTCAGGTTGAGGATTAGATGCAGCTGCCATGAAGTTTTGTGTAGCCATCATCGATGTCCCAGTATCCTCATCACTCTCAAGATCATTCTCATCACACAAATCGACCGGATCATTCTCATCACACATATCACCATCATTCACCCGGCTAGTCTTATACATAGCCTCAATAACCTCATCTACTTCATCATACTCATTGCCTTCAAATTCAGTAATAAAAGTATGATATTTCTTCATAGTCGGTGGTGAAGTATGTCGTCTCCGAAGCCAGTTATCTCGAGCTCGAGAACGCTCTTGTTCGGTATGTTTCGTCGACCAACAACCCAATTTGCGGCAGATGAAGCATTTCTTCTCACGTTGTCTATATGAGGTATTCTCGTTCGATTGTTTTGGAGGGTATTGGCCGCGGCGGAATGCTCGATCGGTATAGAAGACATGTTGTCGTGACGGTTTCGTCTGTTCAGCAATCGCAATAGCCTGTTGTAGATCAGCAACAAGTTCCTCAAAGGTAGCAGCTGGCCTCATGAGGGCAGGAGCACACTCTTTGATCCCAGTGACAGCTGACTGTAGAGTATCGCGCATGCTGTTGAAACCAGTATCAACATCATCAAAGAGGCCTTGGTGTAGTTTCTGAATCTTTTCAGTCAATATCTCCAAACAAGCTGACAAGCTCTTTCCAGAATTTGTCTCGATGATTGTCTTTAGTGACAAGGCTCGCCACTCGGTGCGATATCGGTTCATCATTGCTTCAGGCTCAAATCGGGCCCTGAGCCTATGAACTAATTCACTATAGTCTAAGCCACGATTCGAAAGATTATTGACATAATGTTCCGATGCAGCGCCAGACAGCATAATTGGGAGAGCTCTTGCAAGTTCATTTGATGGAAATTCCAACCGTTGACACTTGTCTGCAAAGAGGTTCAATTTGGTACGCAGGAAATCGCCCTGTTTCCCAGAGAATTTCTCGCTTTCATGGTAGCTTTTGGATAAGAGGTCTAATCGTCGTGGGATATCGATCGATAAGGGAAGACGAGATCGATCTACCGGTTCGGGCGTACGGGGTCGAAGTGTTTGTTGTCGTGTTCGTCGTGTGTCGAATTCAACAGATTCCCTTGTCAATTGTGTAGAGGGTCTCTCTTCAATAACATCATCATCCGGTATCTGTGGTTTCACCTCATTATCTTCCATCCATGTCGGGAACACGGGAGATGAAAGAGTGTCATCAATAGCCATAGCAACTGAATACCCTCGTC